CCACTGCCCCGCGTTACTCTGACAGGGCACACAAGGAAGGGCTGTGCAAGATGTCTCAGTGGAGGGACAGGAATGTAATTTAAACCAGGTCTTCGTGCGCTTATGTGCACCCACCTCACATGAGAACGTTTGTCCGAACTTTGCGTTTATCGCACCCTATATGAGCTAGGTCTAGGAAGAAAAACGAGAATATACATGAGGAAGAAGGATCTCGCAAAGCAGACACGAGGGTACAGCATGCAGACAGACGAACAACAGCTTAAGTTTCAGCAGTTTTTATATAAAGTTTAGTATAAAAAGAGCTTTCCTGTCATTGAAACAAGGTTTAAAATGTGCAGTAAATCGTGATCCTGGTTTAGTTGCAGGTGCTTCATTTCAAGGAGCTCATCTGATTTGTTCGTTTCTGCATTCACGAGGTCATGTAAAAAGGAGGGTATCGAGGACTAACACCCTGGATAGTCTTGACTTTCAACGTATTATTTGTCTATGGATACAAGTTTGAGTTTGTGTTATACAGGGTGATTCGGAGGTAACGTAGCTGTGATTATTATAAAAAGTTACAAATAAAGGGAGCAATAGATATGAAAAGGTCAACCATTCTTCACAATACAGTTGCGACACCATTCAGTGGTGGAATCAGTTACTTTCTTCCACATCTCTGATTTAATATCATCTCACGTACCAGGTTTATCCGCATTGGCAACGTTGTCCGTTCGTTCGAATTGTTGTACAAACTCGTATATTGTCAATTTAGATGGAAGTTGTATATCAAATGATTTACTTCACTGAACTCTAACATCTTTAGAACTCTGGTACGATGACTAATAATTGTTGGCAGGATGAACAATTTCTTCGATTTTTCAAGTGCGTCGTGTGTAGACGCTCTTTGAAATTCCCCCAAAGGAGACTGCGAATGCTTGCCTACCCACTAAGTTTGTAAACAAAGAAAAAAATACCCATAAATATCCTACGAACTTCTGAAAATCGTTATTGAATCTCGACGTCACGCCAGAAACAGCGAAGTTTCATATTTGTCCGAAACAAGTGTGCATGCTTCTTCTTTTTACTGAAAGTAGTTAATTCTCTTATGAACTAATGATACCGGTTCGCACCTCTGTCGTTCTAACCTTTCAAGTTGATGGATCTATAAAATTACGCTTAATTTGCCTCCTGTTTCCAAGGTGCACGAAGCCATTTTATTTTCTTACAGAAAACCCAATTTTCCAAAAGTCAGACCTCCAGAGTTAGACAAAAAAGACTTTGAATATAATTTGGTACAGCCTGTTCGGTTTTTTGACAGCTTGTTGTCATTGCCGGATCATGTTTCACCAGAGACTCTGTCCACACGTGTCCACCCATGATGGTTATGTTGTTGGGCGGTGCCATTCGTGCACCGGCACCGATGCTTCGTTCTTTGGTGTTGCGCCTGATTATCAGTCGTGGATGTAGACTCGTAGTTTTTTATTGGAAGTGGAGATTGAGAAAAAAAGGTGGCTCTGAGTTTAAAAAAACAATTTTGTTCGGTGTCATAAGTAAATAATTCGTCTAGATTAATTCCGACAGCTACGCTGGACATACCAGTATATGATGGAGTGGATCCAACAAACCAAAGAGAGACCGGAATGGCCATTTCTGGCTTATTAGCCGTCATTAACCGGTTCTTACCAATCCTAGTTGTGGATCACCCGAGATTTGAACCCGGAACATTTGATCATTTAGTTTACCACTCTACCATTGCACCACGGGCTCGTTGCTTTGTCAGTTGAGTCTAGTTGAACAAAGCGATGCCGTTGAGATATTTTTCTCAGCGGTTCTCTGTTGAAGGACCGAGGACGTCTCTGCATGCCCTACTTTCCGACGTAAAGTAAAAGAGATGGGGAATGCAAGTGCGAAACTAACGTGACATTGCATACAGGTGTGCCGCAGGACTTATTATGTGAACTGCAATATCTCCTACTTTAGTCGCGTGCGCGTTCCAAGCTGTTGTAAATTGACATTACTGGTCATTGAGAGACTTTTCCGTTGAAAAAATAATTTTTTAAAGACTATTGATGTTACAAGTGATCTTCCACGTGGCGTGAAGCAAATACCTCCACTAGAGCAACTGTGGCATGCCGCCAAAGCGACGACAGCAAAGCCGACAGCAAAACGAAACCAATTTGTGTATTTACCCTTGTGTCTGAATACTCGAGACAAAGCAAAACTTTTTGTCAGTTTAGTTTCCCTGTTCATTTCTCCTTTGAATGTGCATTCGTCTTCTACTCGAAGCGTCTTATCTGGTATATTTAATGTCTTTCACGTACAAACTGTCATATCTCATCTCCATCTAGATCTAGAGCGCGAGTTCCAGCTGGAACCTATTCCAGAACAAGTTACGGTGGGTCAACGTCTCCTCCTCTCCTGCCAGCCACCGCGTGGAAAACCCACACCAAGCGTAAGCGCCAGTTGTTTGCAGCCCTACAACCCGCTTTCTTTCCCCAAGCTCTACTCTGCATCTCTTTTCCCCGTCAAGGAAGACGATTATGTAGTGCCGCGCTCTGACCACCCATACTGAACACCATTATATTCTTGGTCGCTTTGAACCCGTGAGGGGGTTCCCATATGGTCGAATTGTCTAAGCTCGCATGCAGGTCTTCAGCTGCATATACATTACAGTAGATCTGCTATCTCCTAAACTGTTAATCGAAATTCTGAAATGAGTTTTCAATTCGAAACAAGTAACCCAAGTACGGTTATAATACTAATTATGGTGCAGTATACTCTGAAGATATTTCAGTCACCTCGGAATGTTGCTTTTTAACGGGCGTCTTTCCGTTCACTTGCAAAAACCCTACTGTAAAAATAGCTGCGTAACTAGCATGCATTTCATTCGCCGATTTTCAGTACCATTATTTCAAAACATACATTTTAATTTATCTAGCAGAAATAATGCTGGAAATAGTATTCCTTGTCAATATAATCGAAAATGGAAGTCGTAGGAGGTAATTAAGAACAGGCAGATGGGATCGCTGGGACAAGAATTTTATTCGCCTGACCTTTTGGAATCCGTCACACATCCATCATCAGAAACAATAGCAGAGACCCACGACGCATTCCAGAACGTTAGACGAATAGTTTTTTGTCCTAACAATCACTCTGTTTCTTTTCAGTATTCTGTGTACCATTTGGTGGCAAATTGCGTCTCGTTTTCATTTTATTCTTCAACCAAGGCTATATTTGGGCTTAAGAAAGCCATTTTCTATCACCACATAATATTGAATCCGACCTGCCGTTACCCTGGCCTTCAGGTTTTCCAATTTACCAGTTCTTTGTATTCTGTCTCAAGAAAGAACGCATTTCTTTATGCTACTCGAAAGAGATCATACAAGGCTCATAAAATTTTGCAATGGATGTGGGTCCTGTTGTCTGCTTTATAAGCAACACAAATAAATGTGCAGATACGATGCTTTATGAATGGACATTTCAAGGTCTTTTAAACTCTCATGATTATTAAAATGCTTTAAAGTAGGGCATACCCGTTCTTTGAGCATAAAATTGGAAGAAGACTTAATTATCTAGAACATGAGTGCAAGAAAGCCTGTTTTTATGCATTCTTTCTATAAGATGCCAAAAACCAACTTTGTCAGAAAGTAGTTTTTGCAGGCAGTTAGAAAGAAGCCCGTTTAATAGCCAGCACCCTAAGGTCACTGAAATATCTTGGGATTCTGTTGCAGGATAATTAATAGCAAAACCCCGCTTAAGTAATATCTTCTGATAAAGGACATATTTTAAGAATTTCGGTAAGCATTTCATGACATAGCAAGTCTACTGTAGATAGGGCATAATCTGCCTGCTAATTCCGGATCAGTCAGCCGACCGTTATTTCCTTAATTGTGATCCACAAAGACTATCACACCTTGGGGAATGGTTGAACATTGCTCGAATGAGGTCGGCTCCAACTGCCATCGTACTTCGGAGGCAAGGCTGAATTAAGCGAACTCGAGCTAGAGTCGGGCGAGCCGCTTAACCAGACACTGGTCCTCGTCACCT